TTGCTCGGAAAGCTGGATTGGTGGCACTGATGGACCCATGAAGCTGGACTTCTGTGGACTCTGTCAAGGTCAGGCTGCTCGGCCCTGACTGGCAGTTGCTTTCCAGAGCCTCAGGCAGAGGGCTTTCCTGTCACCTGCTACCTGAACCCCCCTCCCCTTTTAACTGGAGATACTAGATATTGAATCTGGGACCTCCTGCTATCAACGCATAGTGCTCAATTATTTTTGGGAAGAGTGGAGGAGGCTCCCCAGAGAGCACTAAGATCGGGGTCCCAACACCGTTTGGCCCTTCCAGGCCCTAAAGAAGCCAGGCTAGCTGTGACGAGGACCAGGGCCTTCTCTGTGGCAGCCCCGTACTGGTGGAATGAGCTCCTGGAGGACATCAGGGCCTTATGGGACCTTTTACAGTTCCACAGGGCCTGTAAAACGGAGCTCTTCCAGCAGGCTTTTGATTAGGGTGCCACTGCTAACGCCGTGGCCCTGGCCCCCATACTAGTACCAACATCAGCGCCAAATCAGCATCTAATAGCCTGACAAGGATCTGGACAATGGTGGTTGTCGTATTCTGGATGCCGAAAGAACGCCGCCATCGTCTATTACGTGTACTTGCTAGCACTTTGAAATGGTGATGGTTTTAACTGTTTTACCTGTTTTAAATACTGTGTGATTTACTATATTGCATACATGTTGTAAGCCGCCCTGAGCCCTCCCCGGCAGGGAGGCTGGGATAAAAATCAAATTAAATGAAATAAATTCATAAATAAATAACAGAGCCACTTCCGTAGCCCCAACAAATGGCCAGGTAGCAGTGGGGGAAAGGAGAGGCGGAAGAAGGGAGGTGGCCGGAAAGAGCAGGGAGAAGCAGGAGCAGGCTGGCAGGGTAAGGGGGGAAGGAGGGGGCAAGTAAGAGACGCCATGTATTTGTGCTGTGCAAGGACTCTCGTCTGTGGCAATCATGCCTAGGAGCTTGGATGGACTATAGAACCTCTGCGTGCCTGACCCTGCGTAAAAGATCTGGTGTCAGATGTATAGTGCTTTGTTGTAGAGAGAGAACAAAACATCTTTCTCTGATAGTCGGTGGCTTAGGAGGAGTCTTCCCCCCCCCCGCCCCTACTACCCCAAACTGCTTGCCGAGTTTGGCATTTTTGTGTGTGTTGGTTATCAGCGTCATAAAATGTGTATCCTGCTGCTTCTTATGACCTCAGTCTCGAAGATACATTTGGGAGATGAGCTGCGGTGATTCAGTTTCACGGCTGGGTCTGCTGATTTGGTGAATGACGTGTTTAGGAAAGAACGCAGACTCCCCATTCAGAGAGTCTGAAAGGGAACGCCAGCCCAGTTGTGTCTGCAAGACATGGTTACAGTTGAGTGACTGCCCTGCAAGCAATTAATCAAGTAAATTGCCACTTGCCACCACTTATGTCTCGCACTTTCCAAGTTTGTTCCCAGCTCTTGCTGAGTCAACAGTCCTGTTCCCACGACTGGGGTGACTCATCCCTCGGCTTTCGCTGACAAAGATGATGCCCGGTTTTGTTTTGTTTTTGAGCCGCTCTAAACTTCTGCTTATCTTTGCTGTGGTTTTCAATACCCCTGTGGTCATCCTGCAAGTCACAGAATAGGAAGTTCTGGCTGGCTTTCTTGATCTTGTGATTGAAGAATAGCTCCTGTGGCGGAATGGGCCTGCTCTGGCCTGCAGGCCATGTTCCCTCCCACCTTCCATGGGGTTCCCAACTCCCTGGAGAGGCTTTCTTTAACTCTCAGGTAGCCCGCCGCCACCACCTGACCTTTGTAGGGAATTGCCCACTGGGAGGGTCAGGACTCCCTGCTTCCTTTCTAAGATCTGAGGCCTTGCCTTTGTGTTTCCCGCTGCCCAGTGCTTGGTCACTACAGGGACAAATTGCTGTCTCGCGCACCCCTGGAGGAATAGCCACTTGCCAACTGCCTGCCTTCCCCTCGACACTCTTTTCAAAATAGCGTGTCCGAGACAGTGGGGGTCTATGTGCTACAGAGAACCACTCCCAGCATCCAAAGTTATAAAGTACTTCTTAAAAAGAAAATGTTTACATACTTTTAGCACAGCACCAGATTTAAGCAAGGGAAACAAAAGAAATGGGTAAAACGCAAATCCTCTGTCCCTCTCTCTGTACATGCCCAATCAGATGTTAAAATAGAATAGGCTCCTAAAGCTCAAGATGTTATAAATCTCTACAGAGTTACCATTTCCTTGCAGCTGTCTGTAGCTCTCTGGGCGAGCACATGGTCAGAATAGCTGCCTTCCCTGAGGAGAGGTCCGTGGGCGTCATGGCCACAGCACCTAAGGAAAAAAGAGCTTCCTCCTCCTGCAAGGAGGTTTTATCATATCTGTTTCTCCTCCCACTGACCAGATTGTGCCAGGTCAAAGAAACGCTTCCTGGAAATCTCCAGGAATCTCCTTCTTGTAGAGTATCTAGTATTCTACCCCTCCAAGACTCTGTTCCCTGCCTGAAAGTGTGGGGGGGGGACCATTCCATAGTCTCTCCCACTGGAGCGATTAGCATATGTATAAGGGTAAGCTGGAAAGCATTTGGACTGACTTCCCCCCCTCCTGACTGCGCTCTGCCCAGAGAGAGAGGAAAGAAAACCCTGTTAAAATGCAAAGTGGAGGCTTGGCTCATCTCAAAACCTCCCAGGAGAGAAAAGGCATTTCCTCACAGAGTCGAGAGCGACTGTCTTCATTATTTAAAGACATTTGACCCTGTGTGGATCCTAGGCCTTCCATCTCTGACCCCCCCTACTGTGAGTTTCACCATAGGCTAAAATATCTGGCCTTGGGTGGAATTGTTTCATGGAAAATAGCACCTTGGCCGCTGATGCAAATTTCTGTTTGGTGTTTAATGGCGTTTATATCATGATCTGAGCTGGTTTGCACAATTCCAGGCCCTATTCACAATTTAGTCCCCTGGCCGGTTTTGCTTTTCCTTAGGAATTCTTACAGACGTTCTTAGGAATTCTGCAGAATTTGCAGGAAGCCTGCAGATTAGAAATCCTGTGAAGCAGTTGGTTTATAGACCCTGGTAGAAATGGATACGTGAATGACAGTAGTTCATTGGAGAGGTGGGGGAAATAATACATGGTGTCTAAATGGTTGGGAATGAAGTTTCTTCTTCTGCAGTGTAATGGTGAGAGATAGTGTGGTGTAGTTATCAGACTGGTGTCTGAGAGATCCCCGTTTAAATCTCCACTCTGCCATGAAGCACATTGGGTGACCTTGGTCCAGTCTGTCTGTCTCTCTCCTCCTCTCTCTCTCTCTGCGCCTAGCCTACCTCATAGGGTTGTTGTGAAGATAAAATGAAGGCAGAGCAAACCATGTTTTCCACCTTGAGCCCCTTGGAAAGAAGGGTAAACTGTCAGCTAGGCCGTTCTTAAGCCCTGGCTGCCATGGGAGTGGGGGTGACTCTGGAATGTTAAGTTTCAATTCTGCTGTGTCTTCTACGTTTCTGTTATCTCTGTCTGACATTCAGTGCCTGGCAATGTTCCCTCTAAGCTGTGGAGTCTTGTGAGCAGAAATTCTGCTTTGTGAGCTCCTGGCATTCAAGTTGTGAGCGAGCGATTTGGCTGCTGCATAAATTAGTTTGCTCTGGAGCCGTCCTTCTTGAGCGAAGACAGAAATCTGTGAGCTGGAGGCTAAAAAACTGTGAGCTAGCTCACACAAACTCAGCTTAGAGGGAACACTGGTGCCTGGTATAGCATTTCTCTTGGGAAAAGTAGCCCATTACTTTGGCGGGCTTCTGCCTGATCCCTGATTGGCCTTGGGCCATCACGGGGTCCCCTTGAATGATGTATAACCGCCTATTGCATGCACTTTCCTTTAGTTCTAACATGGAATGGTTAAGATATCTGCAAACTCTCAAAGTCTCAATAAACTTTACTTCTTTCAATGAAAGCTGTTGGGAACTGATTGCTGCAGGAGTCTGACAGGCTAAAGTTGTATGAAATAAATAAGAAATATGTGTATTTAAATAATATATAAATTCAAAAAATATCTATGTTGCATGGGGAGAAAATTCTGTGAGTCAGCCTGTGTGAGTGCGTGCGTGTGCAGTGCCATCAAACCACTGCCAACTTACGGCGATCCATAGCATTTTCAAGGCAAGAGATGTTCAGAAGCGTTTTGCCATTGCCTGCCTCTGCATAGCGACCTGGACTTCCTTAATGGTCTCCCATCCGTGTGCAGACCAGGGCTGATCCTGCTTAAGCCTCTGATATCTGATGAGATCATAAGAACATAAGAGAAGCCAATGTTGGATCAGGCCAAAGGCCCCTCCAGTCCAACACTTTGTGTCACACAGTGGCCAGAAATACCAGGTGCCATCAGGAGGTCCACCAGTGGGGACAGGACACTAGAAGCCCCCCCACTGTTGACCCCCCCCCAGCACCAAGAAGACAGAGCATCACTGGCCCCAGACTGAGAGTTCCTATCTATACCTTGTGGCTAAGAGCCAATGATGGACCTCTGCTCCATATATTTATCTAATTCCCTCTTCAAGCCGTCCATGCTTGTAGCTGCCACCACCTCCTGTGGCAGTGAATTCCATGTGTTAATCACTCTTTGGGTGAAGAAGTACTTCCTTTTAACCGTTCTAACCCGACCGCTCAGCAATTTCATTGAGTGGCCACGAGTTCCTGTATTGTGAGAAAGGGAGAAAAGTACCTCTTTCCATACCTGCTCTATCCCACGCATACTCTTATAAACCTCGATCATGTCACCCCTCAGTTGTCGTTTCTCCAAGCGAAAGAGCCCCAAGCGCTTTAACCTTTCCTCATAGGGAAAGTGTTCCAACCCCTTTATCATTCTAGTTGCCCTTTTCTGCACTTTTCCCCAAAGCTATAATATCCTTTTAAAGGTGTGGTGACCAGAACTGCACACAGATCAGGCTTGTTTGGGCCGTCCAGTAAGTACCTAACAAAAATGGAGATGCCGCAAACACTAAAAATGTTCTCTTCCTGTGCGTGTGTTTTAGAGGACTATCCTAGTGGAACGTGGCTGGGAGACGAAAACAACCCCGAGATGCGGGTGCGTTGCCCCATCACGCCCGCGGACATGCTGCACATCAGCACCAACTGCCGCACCGCTGAGAAGATGGCGCTGACGTTGCTGGATTACCTCTTCCACCGGGAAATCCAAGCCATCTCCAACCTCTCCGGGCAGGGGAAGCACGGGAAGAAACAGCTAGATCCTCTCATGATTTACGGCATTCGCTGTGAGTACGTTTCCCCCGCGGAGTTTGTGTCTCTTGCCATAAGCACATATTTTACAGTATGCTCTTGGCCAGTTGAGAGGGTCAAGCGAAGTTAAGACTGTTGCATGTATAGATTAAAACCATTTCTCATGGCTCTTTTATGGTATGCCTCAGTGTGTTCCTGCCAAGCATTACATCCAGCGCAGGGTCACAGAGGGCCTTTCTTCAGTAGTCCTATTCGCTTGGTGAAACATGGCTATTGTCTCCTGGAATGGCTCTGACATTTTAGTCTTCACGGCGGTCGCACTGGAAACAGCTTGTAAACGGCAAGAGACTTGACTTAAGTGCAAGCCCAGCATCATATTAACCTAATCATGAGCTGGCAGTGTGCATATTTGGAGGACGGTCTCCATCCACGTGTCCCTCTGTGCCTACTACAGTTGTCAGGCAGTCGTCTGTTAAGTATCCCACCACTCGGGGTGGCCGGTTTGGCATCGACCAGAGCCCAGGACTTCTCCATCGTGGCTCTGGCTTTGTGGGCTCCCTGAAGAGGTGAGGGGGACCCCCTCCTTGGAGACCTTTAGGAGGTGCTGCCGGGCATTACTGTTTGCCCGATCTGCTCTTTTTTTTGGGGGGGGGGGGGAGATTTAGGGTTTGTTATTTTATTATTGCACATTACACTAAAAATATTTTAACTATTAAGACAACATGCAGGGAAATGTAAGGAGGAAACAGCTGAAGGAGCAAGGTGGGATATAAAGGTTTTAACGAATAAATAAATGAATCCAGCTTGTTATCCTGCTCACACATGCATCTTGGCCCTGTCTCCTCCCCTGCCTCTTTTTGCACGAAACGTGACGGTAGAATCCTGGTTTAAATGAACTTTGGTTGCCTGCGATACACGGTGCAGGTGCCCGCCTTAACCGAAGCTAGTTTTTCCCGCCCTCAGCCAAGCTGAGTTAAACTGTTGTTCAGGATTCAGGCTTGAGGGGGGGGGGGGACTCGCTGTTGTTAACCAGTGTGCCTGCATCCAGATGTTGCAGGAAACAGTTTGTTTTAAACCAGGTTCCCTTCATTGTGCTGTATTCAGGGGCAGTGGTGAGGTGCTTCGGGTAAAAAGCTGAGTTTGCGCACGTCACCTTAATGTTGGCTTAATGTAACATCGGAATGTGGCCCAGCTGCATCTTGCACTGTTGGGGACTGAACATTTGCAAGACTCCAGTCTAGATGGAAGACTTTGTGAGCCTCGGAAAGCTCTGCGGATCAGTTTTCCATTTTGCTGCAGTGGGAACAATCAGAAATTTGTGCCTGTGCCGTGAGTTTTTTCTGTCTGGAATTCCCAAAATCAGTGGAAATTGCAGTGGAACGATCTTCATCTGCCTCAAATGATCAGATTCCATTTTTTTGCCGCTTCGCACAAAATTGGAAGCTGGTTCGTTGTTGTTTTTTTTACCTCCAGGCAGATGTTTTGTAAACTTCTATTTAAGGAAAGTTCCACAAGGACCAATTAACATCGTAGTGCACTTCAGGGCTGCCTTGAAGAAAGAACCCAAGCCCTGTTTCCAGTTTAGAATGTCACTCTGAATTCATGTTAGCGTTGCAATGGGAGAACATACCCAGGTGTAGCGCACATTCCTGATGCAGAAGGTGATTGAAACAATAAAACCTCACGGTAGTAATGGCTACATTTAGAAGCACAGATGTTGTGCAAGTATTTAGCATAACAACAGGCTGGATGTCTGTTTCTGATCGGCCAGAAACAGGCGGTGTGAATAGTCCGGCTACTTTGGCTGCTGCTTCCGAGCGAGACAAGCTCATTTGCCATCTTGTTTTCCATGTGTATCATTTCAAAGATGAAATCTCTGTGACGTCCAAGTGCACAGAACCAGCGTGGGCACGTAAAAGGATACTGATCCACCCACTGAACAGAACTGACATACGGCTGAACCCCAAAGCCCTCCTGCTGTGCGGCCTGTGTAGAGTTATTCAAGTCTAAGCCCATCGGTTTAATTGGTTTCATTTTTGGCACCTGTTAGGTGCTGGAGTCTGTGTTTTCTGTCCCTGTAGGGGTGAATAACCCTATCCGGAGGTGCTTAACTCCTGCTAATTAATGAGCCTGCCGAGTTTGGTGGGGAAGGTTGGGGCGGGGTTTATAGGTATGCCTGGAATGCTCCCAGCCGAGGGAAGAGGAGTACCTGAGTCAGCCAAGGAACAGCTGTTTCCTGGTAAAGCAACAGGGCAGCAACACCACACGGCACTTCGTCTTCATTGTCAAGGTGCTCCACTGCAGCCCTTCTTACCCAGAATGCCACAATATCCCTCACGTCCTGTTTCCCCCATTCTGGCTTTTGCGTGAAGGAGTCCTGGACCGCACAGCTCTCTTCATACCTTGTGGAGAGGGTGGAGCCACGGGCTCCGTTCCGACATCTTGCCAAGCCGTAATCAGAGAGGCTTAATTTTGGTATCATGCAACTGTGGTCACAAACAATGGTTTGGCAGATCAGAGCCTCTGCCAGGGTGTGGGGGCCAGGGTGGACACCCAGGGCTACACCAGAGTTTCCTGCAAAACGTTGTTAAGGAAACCAAATCGGGACCAGTGCCTGCACAGATGTTGCCACAGCAACCAGAGTTTCTTGCTGGCTAAGATCTCAAGACCCCCTCACAAAATCCTGGCTGCCAGCCCCGGAGGTGAAGGGGTAGTGAAAGTGAAAGGAGGGAAAAGAAAATGGGGGGTGGGGTGGGCAGGCTACAACGGCGGTGAAGGGCAGAGGGAAGGCAGTGGAGATGGCTAAGGCTGCAGGGAGGTATATAGGCTCTAGAGCATGCGTAGGGTCAAGGGTGGGAAAAGCAGGAGACAGTGAGGCCGGGAGTGGACTGGGATTTCGATTCTCCTCCTCCACGAGTCTATCTGGGCTGCCCTCTTGTCATGCCTGAAATTGCAGACCAGTGTCAGGAGGCAAGTTTTTGAAATGGGTTTTGGTGTGACCTGAATTGACAGACCAGAATTACGGCTGCTGCTTCCCCTCCAGAGGGTGCTGCACGATACAGACAGGTGTGAACCTAAGAATGTACAAAGCTGAGTGCTGAAATGATGAACAAAAGGAAAGCAGGCTTGCCCATTGTACTGGTCAGGGGTCGTTTCGTAGAAAAAGAGCTAGGGGAACTCATTAGCATAACTCATTAGCATATGCCACGCCCCCTGACATCACCGGAAGTGTGTCATAAGGCCACACACTGCACCCCCAACGGTTCCAGCCGCCGCCACCGGCCTTGCAGCTCCACTGCCGAGCCCCATGAGGGGCCCGGCGGTGGACCTGCAAGGCCGGCGGGAGTGCAAGGAAGCCCCGCGAAGGCCCTCCCTGGCCCCAGGCAGGCAGGGTGGGGAGAGGTGGGGAGGAAGCAACTTACCCTCCCTCTTCTCCTGCCTCCTCCTGGCTGAATGAGGGCCGGAAGCGGGGCGGCCGGAAGCAGGGGGCGGGGCTTCGTCATGTGCCCCGCCCCCCGTACCTCACCCGGGGGAACTCCGATCCCCCGTGATCCCCCCCCGAAATGACCTCTGGTACTGGTAGAAGCCCAAACTCTGGGTCAGAAGGTATTGTGTGTTGCAACATGTGACTTGAGTCACCTTCCCCTCGCTGTTCTTGCCTGTCTTCTGACCTGGTATGCTTCCTGGGTTGGAAGAGAAGACCCAAGTGTCTGCTTGAAGGAGGGACTTGCTGTCAAGTGGGGAAAGACTCCTCAGAGCTCCTCTCCAGAGACATGCTATTGTCAAAGGCAGAGGGAGGTCCACCAGCAACCCTCCAAAGACCCCATGAATCTTGCGGAAAGGAAGGCTTCCTTTGGTTTAGTAGACCTCCTGGAATCCCCTCCGCCACTGGATCCCTCCTGGGTTCTCTACGATCCACTGCCCCATGCAGCTGAACAAACCGTACACAGACTAGTCTGGCCCTGGTGTGCAGAACGGCACCCTTTGGTCCTCTTCTCAGCTTGGGTGCTCAGCTGCCATCTTCAGGAGAGCCCGTGCCAGCCCATGCCGTTAGCCCCACTCACGTCCTTGCCAGCGCCACTTTCTGCACGAGTCTCCTCTTTCAGCTTGTCAGTGGAAAGATTTTTTTTGTCCCTTCCCTCCTTCTGGGAAAAGAGCCCCCAACCAAATCTGTACTTAATAGAAAGTATTTTGAAAAGTATATAGTACCGAGAAGCCACACTTTCCAAGTGAAGGGAAATGTGCTTATTAAAAATTCTTGATCCGCTGCATCAGCCTTCCCACAAAGCGTTTATCTTTCGAGGTGTCCGTTTTCATGGGGCTGCCTGCTGGAGGGGCAGCCGTGGTCGTGGAGCAAAGGTTTTTTGGGCAGCCGATGACTTCAAGGCCAGTAAACGAGGGGGATTTTTTTCCTTGGGTGAAATCTGATACGAGAACTTCAGTGGTTAGCTGTTGCATTGTGATTGAAAATATAGGCTTACATTATTTGACATTAATAACTGCAAGCATGTCCCTTAAAGAACTTTCTAGCTTGGATATTTGAATATGGAAAACCAGAGCTACAATCAAGTGGCTCTTATAAGAATATAAGAACATCAGAGAAGCCAATGTTGGGTCAGGCCAAAGGCCCATCCAACGTTCTGTCACACAGTGGCCAAAAATACCAGGTGCCCTCAGGAGGTCCAGCAGTGGGGCCAGGACACTAGAAGCCCTCCCACTGTTGCCCCCCCCCTTCTGCTTTTCTGAGCTTCAGGACGCTGTGTTATGGTTAGGAAAGTGGGGTTTGAAGTGGCCGAAGAAGGCTAGAGGGAAGGGGACTTGACCCAGGACTCTGCCACTTCCAGCAGGCTTTTGCATGATTCATGTGGCCATATAGATGGTTTGATGACAGCTCTCGTTTCTACTGCTGCGCTGTGGCCTCCTTGTACAATGTCCAGTTGGGGAACGTTGTATTTTGAACCATGTTGCTTTTGTAAACCTGTCATTTATTTTATTTGCACATGGCGTCATTCAGAGGTAAAGGTAAAGGTTCCCT